ATTTTCCCTAAAGCCAGTTCTGCTCCCACCCAACACAAGGATCCAAATAAGCACTACTATCGTTTCACTTTGAGATGTAACCTTTTATACGCTACCATACCTAGGGTCTTTCCTTTTTCTTGACAGCCATAGTAGAACATGCTTGCACTTTAGTTATGCAGCTGCACGATGACAGAACCTGTCTGTTGAAATTCCCAGAGCACTTGCTTCCAAGTTACATACACCCAAGTCAGAAAATAACCCAGCTCTGCATGAGCAAGTCAATGGATCTCAATTTCTTAAAACCTGGATGTCAAATGTAACTTGGAAAATAAAACTTGGTAGATCACACTTTGTTCTTGGAGCCTAGTAGTGGATGGAACACAGCAGCAATACCCCAACGGGGACACAACAAGTTTTAGGCAGAGGGTAGGAAAAAAATGCTTCCTAAAACTTCCTGACACAAAGTGAGCATGCATGCTGTAGCTAAGTATTTGAAAAGCTAAGAATGTAGCTGTGGTTCCTCCCTAGCTAGTCACTGCCCTACTTTTCTTTTTTATCTTTGAAAAGCCAGAGATCAGTTTTAGAATTTCAAAGAGCAGTTTACAGGAGTAGGTGAAAACAGACAGGAAACAGGAAATGCTCTTTGAAATAATAATTATTATATGCCCTTGCAATGAGGACAGATACAGAACACCTAACTTAGCAAACACCACCATGGCTGTTCATCCATTAAATTCCCAATTTTACATGTTTTCTTCTCTAAATTTAATGGAACTTAAGGATGTTCCATCAATTTCAAGGAGTAGAATTCGAATATGGAGCCTACTAAACCTGTCAGTCTTCCATGGGCCATTATCTGTGGAAGGTCACAAGAGAAAGAAAAAAAATTAAATAAAAAGGAAAGAGAGAGAGAGAGACAGAAAGAAAACATTTAATGGGATATTATTCCATAATACTTCTAGAACAGACTTTAAAGTGATGACCATTCCTATATTTAAGAGACAATTAGGCTATTCTTAAAAGATCATTTTACTATTCCTTTTCCTTGAATCCTACACAGTTGGATTCAGGGTAATTACTGCACCTGGTTATAAGTGGGAGGCCACAGGAAATAATCCCAAATATTTTTTTAAACCCTAAATGATTTTATTTAATGTGCAACATATGCAGATTACACACAAGATTCAAGTTTCATCGCTTCTGTTGCGCAATGCAATGATCTATGATTTACGTTCCTACAGGATGAGATCTTCAAACATACCAAAGAATTATCGTCAGGAAGTTCCATCACGGTCTCCAAACAACATTTATAAACACGCACCTTGTTCACTGGAGAAAAAACTTGGATCTCTGTGAAAGTTGAGCCTGTTTCTTAAAAAGATACATAACTGCTGCAGACACGATACAGCCTGCAAGGCTAAATGGTGTTTTCCATCTCTTCCAAAAGCTAACTTTAGCAAAGACAGAAGGCTCTACAAAACAAAAGTGTTAACAGTTCAGTTCAATCTAATTCAACAGTTCAATCCAGTCATCAACCTAGATGTCATTACACCTCCCACAGACTGGCATACTATGGTTAGTTCTGAACTGTACATAAAAAGAAAATGACTTTTGAACAAGTGTTTACAGATCATATTGAATTGTGGTTAAGAACTCTTTGTTCAACGAAGGAACTATTATTAGACCCAAGAGAAGAGCTGCTTTACACCATTTTCAAACAACCCTCTACTGACAACCTATGAGCAGCTATTACGGGAACTGAAATGTAGCACATTTCAGCTAAATGGATGTGCAAAAAAACTCCAAAAACAAAACAAATAAAAAACTCAGCCTTCACTTCATAGCATTGTGTGTTGCCAGTAGTTAAACAGGTAATTACAATAAAATTAAAATGCAAATCTACTCTCAAATGCTCCATATAACAATTTCCTTTTTTAATATGATAGTTTTAGACACCCCTGTATGAAGAAATGCACAGTTGTTAAGCAGGATAATTTACATAAGGTCTAACTTCAGAGAAGTCATTTTACAATCTGATAGGGTTTTAATTGATAGTAGCTCTAACCTGAACAATCTTTGGTCTCTGAAGAAAGATCTCAGCAGGGAAATCTTGCATAATAACATCCTGAAGAAGCTCACATGTACTCCAAATTAAATTGTGGTTACTGCTTCTCAAAGAGCTAAAAGTTAAAGTTGAAATTCAGTAAAAAGGAAGAAAAACACTAGAACATTGCAAGTCTGTATACACAAACCTCCACTCAAATCTGAACTGAAGAATTTCTGCAACTGCACTACTGCCACCCATTCCCAAAGAAGGGTTCTTTCCCACATGAGCTACTTTTGTGGACGAAAAGAGAAACAATGTTACACTAAAATAAATGGCACTGTTGTCACACCAAACCTGAAAATGGGTTTCTGGAGAAGAAATTAATCTGCGACCCCCGGCACACATTGCACTTAAGACATGATTAACCAGCTAATTACCTCTTAAATTGTTACCAAATGACACCTTAATGTAATTAATGAAGGGATAAACAAGGAATAATTCACAAAAGTTATAAGACGCTTTCTGTGTAATAACTTTGTGGCTGGTTCATATCTTGTCATTAAATGAGCATGTAGCCAGGCTGCGACTCCTAGCCACTAAGGGCAAACCAGCAGGGCAGCTAGGAACCCTGTCAGCTGATGGGGCTCTCAGCCACAGGGGCACAAGATACACACCTATAGCTGGGAGACCCATCAGTTAACAGGGCTCCCAGCCACAGGAGCTTGCTACTCGCCAGTACAGGAGCCCAGGACTGTGACTCCAGGCTTCCCCTGCACTGGGAATAAGGTGTGACAGGATCTGATTCTGGATCCCCATCACTCTGCCTGCCATGCATGCAGCTCCAGCCTAGCTCGTTGCCAGCGGCAGGCGCAAACACACCTGGGGTGGACAACAGGGAAGTGGCCAGGGCTGCGCTGCCATAAGAAGGGTTGGGCTCCTCACTTCTTCCCTGCCATCTGCCCTGAGACGTGTGCATCTGCTAGCAGAAAAGAGCTGGACCATGGCTCCGCACACCCCAGTGCAGCTATTTTCAGCCCTGGCCCCCAAGCAGCCATGTGCCACTGACAGCAGCAGACAATGGGCTTTCCCAACAAGGAACTGATAATGAGATGCATTACTTACAATTTACCAGTTCATGTTTAGCCAAGTTACTAACAGGACTTTGATAGACTATGCAAAGTCAGGTAAAAATCTCATTCCCGGCTGTAATAAAGAAATGTTCATACCACAAAACTGACCAACTAACTGTGTTGGCTGACATCACAATTTACACTAAAGACTGAATCACTAGTTTGTCACTCAGACGCAACAGTCTGGGATACAGTTGAGAGAAGACTGGGAAGCTAATACTGTACCTGCTCTGTCAGTCTTTGGCACAGCTTTCATAATTACTAAACTCAAATAAAAAAAATATTCACAGTAGTTGCAGTTGTTGAAGCTCTTTAACTGCTCCGACAGAAACTTTGGATGGCTACAAACCAAAAAACCCCCACGTAACACAAATTAAAATATAAAATCTCCAATCACTGTACCTTTCATTTGACGAAAGAACATGCCTATCTGTTGTGGTCAACATTAGCCAAGGAAACGTGGAAAACTTCAAACACTTTACTGCCTTATTTACTGTTAAAAAAAAATAGTAAAAGCTGAAAGGTGCACAGAACTGCAGTGTATTTTTCTTTATTAGAGTTAATGTTACAGCATCTCCCTCACTGCTGAAAAAAAATCTAATTATAAAATGTGTTTTACACTTATCCATCTGGACAGCTGATAAGACTTTAGCAGAACAAGAGAAATTTAGGGTCCATCCATATTGGAAAACAAGTTTCAGTAGTTCAGGAATAAAAAAAAATATTTTAGTAAAATGGCACAGCATTAGTGAAGCAGTATTTCCTTTGCTTCCAGTCTACACTAATCGAATCACCTACCATCAACCTATAATCTTGCTCTTCTACCAAAGCAAGTACATTCCAATACATTAAAATTCTGAGGAGAAAATACACAAATTATTTTTTTAATTCAGCTGGTGCCATCTTATTAGAATTGTAAAGCTATTTTTAAATTAATTTTTCAGTTAGAGTGTTGCATTCCCAATGAAGGCTAATAACTTGTTAAACAGTGATTTGCTAGTAGAAGTACGAAAAATTCAAGTTTAACTTGTAAAATCTGATTTTTATCTCGACATAATATTGGAGGTAGCATTTAAAAAAAGGTAGACACTGAATTTTTCATTACATTACGGACTTCTTTTCAACATCCTAACCATCCTAGATGGTTAATAGGACAAATGCTCTCAAAGTAAAATTTCTGCCATGCTTCCATATTTAAACCTCTTACCGTCTCGCAGCACTACCAGATGCATAAACAGCATAATGCTCGATCTTATTTCAGTCCCCAAATCCCATTTTCAGAAAAGACTTTGCAATTTTCAATTTAAATTTCTTAATAGAAAATGGCATTTAAGTTGTTTATGAAATGGGATTCAAGGGATTTCCCTCCCCAAGCAAACCATTACAATATTAATTTTTTAATTACTACTGCTCTACATCAAGTGAGGTAATTTAGACTTCCTAGGACACCAGTATTTGTAAACTGTTTGTAGGGAAAAGATGGTCTAATAATGCCATGGGGTAAAAACATATATGAAATTTAAGAATGCCTTGCGGATTACAGACATATTACCTAACATTTCTAAAGCAATGCATACCAGCTGATCTTTTGGCAGGTACTTCCAGCTGTTGCAAACGGCTTCTGTTTTGTTGAAAATACCCAGTGATTTTTTCTTCTTGGGGTAAAACTAAAAAGAGAGAGACCGCATTTTCATTGAGTGCAAATATTGTATTTTTCTGTATTTCCTAAAATACCAAATAATCCAACCCATCTTCACAGTAAAGTTAAAAGCAGTTTGAGAGATCATTGCCTCCGAGTTCTACCAATTTGTATTTTCTAAAAAGTCTATTTCTCTGCTGTTTTGTATTCTGCATATATATTAAAACGGACCACACACGGAGGTAATGGAAGAAAAAAGAAAAACCAAAATTGAAAATAAATATTTCTCCATCTACCCAACTCATATAGCCAAAAATATCTGTTTACTATTGTTGCAAGTACGAGTTTCCACTTAGAATGGTACTTTATGGTTAGTAAATTTAAGTTACCAAATCAGCTCAACAATGGATAAGAAGCATGTAATATTACATTTATGAAATGTACAAAAACTACATAACCATAAAAATCTAGCAAACATGCATTTTATAGACTGAGGACAGGCACAGACATTACACTTTTACTAGTATAAGTGATTGGAAACCAGTCTATACTCATAACAGAAGTTTGGCGCACAAAACTAGTCTGTACCCATAGCAGAATAAATGTTTGGCCCACACAGACTGATTTAAAAATGGTGGAACCCAATTTAAGATTTGCCCTGGCCCCCACCCCGTCCAAAGAGAGAACGTGAGTTCTGTTTGCTACCAATCTAAACTATGCTGCTTACAGAAAACTGTAACTTGGACTGATTCCACCTCAGGCTTTTCGAATGTCTGTATCTAGCCTCAATCAGAGAAGCTTAAGCACATCTACCCTGCTTCTGCCTCACATAATTAACCTCTCTCTCTACCCTAGTAAATGTCATAATTACCGTATTCCTCAAATCCAAGATGACTTCAAATTCAAGACAACAACCCAATAATTATATAAATCACATCTATAAATTTTCCATGAAAAAAATTAAATTACTGGAAAGTCATCTTGAATTCGCTCTCCCCACCATTGTGGTGGGAAAAGCAGCTGGGGAAGAGGAGGCAGCAGGGCGGGTGGGAGGGAGGTCTAGTACCTATAGCTACATTCCAGACTCCAGTGCAGCTGCTTGCAGCTTCCCCACCATTTGTCAAGAGCAGCCAGGCTCTGACTGTTCGCCACAGATCCCAGACTGCTCACAGCAAGCAGCAGAAAGGCTGCACCAGGGTCTGCACACCCTAGCTATTAGGTACTAGTCCCCACTCTTCCCTCCCCTCCACCTCCCACTCTGGGGGTGCCATACCAATTAATTGTTTAACTACTGTAATTACAACAACAGGTTAAATGGATGCTTTTTAAATTGACGTTTACAACCCTAACACATAGCTAGACTCCCAGCCCCTACCTCCGCTAGCTGCCTCCTCTCCTTTTTCCTCCTAGTGCCTGTCTCCCTACCTCTTACTCACCAGTTCCCCTGTCACGTCCCCCTGCTGTCTGCACCCCCAGTGCCAGCCTTCTCCCCCCTTACCCCACCAGGCCAGGGTCTGCCCCCAGTGCATGCCGCCCCTACCTATTCCTGACTCCCATGCCACATGCCCCCTCCATGCCTGTGTCTGACCCCCCACCACCTATCTCCTTTCTAGTACCTACCCAATACTTGCCTTCTGGGGGGCTCTGGCTCCAGCTCCGGGGCAAACACAGCAGCAGCCCTGGCCCCAGCCCAATCAGGTAGAAGTAGCCGCAGCAGCTGCCTGCCCTGTTCCAATACTCAAATCCAAGACAAGGCCTTTTTTCCCCTCCTCTATGTTGATGGGGGGGAAAAAAAAACTTCATTGTGGATTTGAGTAAATACAGTGATATTTTTAGAACCCATTTGGTAGAACTAGACCATTTACTACATTGATGTATCCTTGAAAGAACAGTCACCTACATCATTTACACCAACCGTTTCTATGTTAATAGCTTGATTTTAAACTTTCTCTATAATTAAAAATCTCCTAACTATTTTGAGAAGAGGAAATCATAGCACTAATAACATAAAAAAACCTAGCACAAATCCAACATATACTTTATATTAAAACTAGCACTTATTATAAAACATAGGCATTGTGACATTTAAGGAAAGTTATTTGATTGATTACAGTTTAACAATAAGGAAAAGAAGAAGTTCACTGTATTTTTTAGGACACAATGGGTGCGTCTACACAAGTCACTAACTGCACAGGTGCCTAATAACACTGTGCAGTAGTGTGCCGGGCAAAACCCATGCTAATACGCTACTGCACGAAAAAACACGTGGTGGTGCTACTATGCAGTAGTGTGAGTTACTGCATCTTGATTTAGTACCTCATTATCCAAGTACTGAACTTAATGCATATTTACAATGGCACTTTAATGACTGTGTAGATGTGCCCAGTAGAAATTTTCTAGTTGGGGAAAATAAGAATCTGTCCAAGGTCTAAAAAATTAAATTCTGTAACCTCAGCCTGTGCCCTAATATTGGTTTCTGTATAATTCCAAGAAGCATGCTCTATGCAGAGGGTACTAGGGCCAGAAAGGCTACAAAATGCCAACCATTTTCCTCAATTCCATCAGCAGGAGGGGAGTCCAACTGATTAGAAAGCCTGTTGTCTGAAAGAATTGTGCCCAGAGAATTAACAGCAGGGAGGAGGGAACAAAAAAAAGAGAGAAAGAAGGTAAGTCTACTAAATGAAATTTAAATGGCCAGTGTCTAATGCATGTAACGATAATCACCACAACCAAAGACTGAAGACTTTAGAAGTTTGACAGCAATCAAACTATCACTATCTTTGCTCATGCTTTACATACTTTACTATAGCATAAATTTACCTAAACCTTGACAGAAAATAGGCCAAGCTAAACTAAACAAAAGTATATGATACTCATCCTAGAACAGCATCAGTATTTTACTAAATTAAATGTCACAACAAATCAAAAGCCAATGCTACCACAGTTCAGTAAAAAAGTAACAGACTAGTCAAAATCTACAAGAGGGGCCCAGTCCTTTGACATCCCTCCCCTCACCACACAAGTGCTAGTTTTCTAGCTACATATATTATTCACACTTAAACATCAACAGATGTCAAATGAAAACATGAAATCAAATTGAGATTTTCAACCTAGAAAATCTTTAAAAAAGTAGTGAGTGACTTCACTAAGCTTAGGTTCTCTTTCCATGCACAGCCCCCCTCAGAATGCAACTCACTAAACTTCACTAAAGCATAACTGCCCTTTCTTTCTGATCAAACAGGCTTTCTGCAACCTGGAATCTCTTCCTTTTTTGTTTTAATTGAAGACAAGCAAGTTTCCTGAAGATATAAAATTACCTGGTTGTTCTGCTGAAGGCAAGGGCTGATTTTGATAAGACACCTCTGGATAACTGGAAGGAATTTCTGAAGGAAGTCGAAAGAGTCCATCCAGGATCCCATCAATTACAGCCTGCAGATTTGAATCCACATTAGGACGGAGTTGAGAGAAGAACTCCACTGCACCAATTCCAATCAATTGCTGGATAGCAGATGGATGCTAAATTAGAAACAGGGCTGTCAGTTAACATAAGCCCGAAATGTCTGTACATAAACAAGCTGTCTACTGATCAAAGCACAAGTCTGGGAGAGTCTGAGACCTGTAGTTGCAATTCTGTCATTAATACCTGTGACTGTTCTTCAGAGGCAAGTCTTCTTACCTCCTTTGAGACAAGTATATTAGAAAATGTGTCCCCTTTTCAGCAGCAGTGTAGCCAAAGTGACAAATATCTGCAAGTCAAGAGCAGATATTTTAACCACTGCATTCTCATTGCTCACCATATTTATACCTACTTTCAGCTAAGCAGTAGGAGTCGGTAAACAAGGCACTGGACTTGGAATCAGTTTCCCAGAGTCCTTTTTCCACCTGTCACTAGCTACCAATGTGTTCTCTGGCAAGTCACTTACCTAGCTATGCTTCTACGATCTGGTTAAAAAGCACTGAGTGTCTTGCGTGTGTATGCATGTGCGTGTGTTTCATTTAATTCAAATATTAGAAATGAATATTTAAAAGCAACTAAAATCACTCCAGATTAGAGTACAATTTTGTAATATGATCCAGGTGCCATTTGTTCTTTTTTTGCCAATTTGTACTGTAATAAACATCAATTATTTGCATATTGGCGAAGTGTACAAGCCACAGTATCTTTCAGACCCATTCACAGATTTGAAATATAATTGGATTGTTTCACTGAATGATAATTGTCTCCAACAATAGTGAACGGAAAGCAATAGGTTCCTGCTGGAAGCCCTGAAATAACAGAAGCCCATCAGGTTCAGGGGTGCCACTATCACAGCCCTAACTGCAAATGACCTGGGTTCTCTGCACTTAATGAGAATTGCTTGCATTAACTTTGAGTAAGTGCCTTGCACAATTTCAATCCCCAGACTACAGATTTAAAATACAGTCTAGGACAGGGGTAGGCAACCCCCAGCATGTATGCCAGAGTGGCACGCACACCTCAGGAAAGGGGCCAGCGCTACACCGCCACAACAAAGATCAGACCCCTCGTGGCTCCCCCACCAACCGGCCCAGGCACATCAACATTTTACAAGTTGAGGTTGTGGATGTTTTTGGCATTCTGTCCAAAAACGCTGCTGATCCCTTGTCTAGGATTTTATACCTTCACCAAGTTGCTCAGCAAGTTTAACACCTCCTCTTTCATTGGGACTAGAGGAAAATTGAACCATTCCAGCAGATGGAGGAAGAGCAGTTTTTCTTGAACTAGGTCAGCATACGAAATCAGCTGGTGATCTAATTTGCACAAGATATTCTTCAGGCTTCTCTCTCTGATCTCAGCCAGTGGATGACCTTAAAAACAAACAAAAAACAAGACAAAGGAGCACCCATGGATTAAGCCAGCTGAGAACGGTCCCTCCTACCGTCTCACTCCATTGAATGCTCTTATGGGGCAACTCAGGGCAAAGTTACATGTTGCACTTTGTGAGAGAGACAAATAGATAAAAGACCGTCGGAGACAGAACTATGACATCAGGCTTCAAGACCTGTACCTGCTCTTTTCCCCCAGCAGGAAGTCTGGAGATCAGACCCAGAGGTCCAAGGCACTGTCCAGGCTAGGGCACGTACTGCTTGTTCGTCCTGAGTGGAGACATCTAGTGGTCTCCTTAGTGGGAATCAAGACCATCTGTCAAATTCCACCTGGACGTGCCTCAGTTCCACTGAGCACACCAGACCTTTGACATAGTTTGGTCTAAACAAATAGGCTTACCAGCATTTCTGCTTGGCTTCGGTTCTTTTTGTAACTAAGTGTGTATCAAGTGCCCCCCCACCAAAAGTGGGATATAGTCGTAAGCGCAAATTCCCTCACTAAAGAGTGCTGTCATCCATGAGAAGTGATCAGTGGACCATCTTGGGTCAGGGGTTAGCTGTTCCCATTAAGCCTTTATTGTAACAAGGAGCCTCCCTGCTTCTTCCTAAGCTCCAGAAGAACACAACTTGGGCACGTCACTTAAGACAGGAGCACCCACAGAAGAATGCACCTGACACGGTGCTACCAGCACCTCAAGGCTGGGCCACTTCACGCAAGGTCTAACACTGCCCCC